CCCCAAAACCCCAAAACCCCAAAACCCCGTCGATAAAAATTTTCTTAGTAAAATTTAGTTTGGTATCACTTATAATTTTAAAAGGTTCACTGATATATATTTATGGATTAAATGAATGAAAAATCTGACCAATCTTCGCCTAACTAAGTCCGCTCTCTCTCCAAAGGCATTGTGAAAAGATTTATTGAATTAAATGAGGATTATCAATGTAAATGCTACTTATAAGTGACAAGACTCAAGTAGGGGAATACGAAAGAATAATAATCTAAAGTTGTTATGATGTAAGTATAATGATAACTAGAATACTACTTTTATATGCTTAAAATATCAAAGATTCCCAAGGATATATAAAGATTTAATCAAAAAATTTTAGGTATGAACTAAGTGATGGTCAGGCCAAGATTAACTCATTTTAAAAGATCAGACAACCAAATGTAACAAATATACTGTAAATATTAACAGATAGAGTCCACAAAATAGTTCGATGTTGTTGAAATTGTAAATTTTCGAAAGCAAGTTCAGGGACATAAGATGTATGATTATTAGCGATTTTTTTAAAATAGGTTTCAATTAGATTTTTGGTTCTAAAGAAAGAGCCTAAAGTTATCTATAATCACTTAAAAGAAGTGATTGGAAATCCCATTAAGATTGAAGAATTTATAAAATTAAACCAAATTGAAGATAAAGAATTCAAAATTCCCCAACTTTAATAAAAATGAAAATTGAAAAAGAATACAAAGCTAATTTTAAGCTAAGATAATAGCGTTATAAATTAAGATGTTGATTCGAATAATGTTGATACTGATGATGATGGGGGTTCCAATTAGGAATGTGGGAAAAATAGCAGGTAATTTATATATCTTCTTAAATTAAGAGGTTATAGAGAAAAAGACAAAGTTGAACAGTTTAGTTAGGCAATAGTTTAGTAAAGTCATAATAACTCCTATAATAATTATAGCAGTAACTCCATAGCTATCGCAAATTAATCTAATCATGAGCAAATCAATCAAATTATAACTTGTTCTTAATTGCCTACAAAATACTCATAGATAAATACTCATTAACCGTCTCAGGTGTAGTATTCTCAATGGGACAATAGGCATCCATTCCATATAGATAGTTCCTCGCCAATAAACAATTCAAAATATATGCCAATCAAAGCATTGAATGTTTTCTCTAGAGATTGGATTATCTAGGCAAAAATATCGAGAAAGAGTGAAAAAAGGTTTACTAAAAACGGAGGTATAGTCTTTAAAATTGAGATTATAGACTGTTTTGGAACTATTATTGAGTGTACATTTTTTAATGAGGCTGCAAAGTACTATGAATAACAACTTATAGAGGATAAAGTATATCTTTTCTCAAACGGCTAAGTCAAATAATCGAATAAGAAATTCTCAACTATAAAGAATGACTTTTGCTTGATATTTGAGCTAACAGCAAAGATTGTAGAAAGTAACGATGATGGAGGGATTATAGATAATAGTATTGAATATAATAGTGATACAATCAAATCTATAGAATCGACAGACCGGAACAGGGCTATTGATGTTTGTGGAGTAGTAATTGATGTTTCAGACCCTGAATAAGTAAAACTCAAAAATGGAAATCAAAAATAAAGAAAATACATAACGATTGTTGATGAAACTATGCACTCTATTACTATTACACTATGGGGAGAAATGAGCGAAAAACATGCTAAATTACGATTTGGAGATATAATCATAGCGAAAAGGACGAAATTCTCTGAGTTCGGAGGTATTAGTCTGAATGCTGCTGATGATCATAGTGTGATTCTAACAAATCATATTGATGATAGGACTTCTGCTCTAAGAAAATGGTTCAATGAGTTTTCAAGAGAACCAAAGTGCATGGAAAAAGTGAAATCTTTAACTTAGAAGTTGGGCAAGCAAGAGGAATATAAAGAGATGATTTAAGAACGTATGCAGTAGCTTGAAAAAAAGAAGGATCCTCCATACAATGTAATTAAGTTATTTGAGTTTTAAGATTATAGTTAGTTTGTGAGATAAATGATAAATTGCTAGAAGATAGTGAAAGGTTCAGAAGATCAAATTAAGATCATATATTCTACTTCAATGGATATGTACTTAGCATAACGACAGATAAAGTCATCTATCCTGCATGTTAAGTGGAATAATGCAAGAAAAAAGTAACTGAGGAACTGGATGGAACATTTAGATGCGATAATTGTAAGAGGAATTTTTAGCAGTATAGTCCAACGTATATGGTATGTGCAAGAATTACAGATTTTACCTAGTCAATATTTGTAAATTTTACAAGAGAACACGGAAACGATTTAATGGGTAAGATACTTAAGAGTTTATTTATATTAAGATAGGAATGACAGCACAAGAATTCGAGAATTTTAGAAGAACTGCAACATAAGAGTAAATGTAGAATCTATTCGACTCTATCACATTTAAAGAATTTAACATAATGGTCAAGGGGAAAATATAAAATTACAATAACGACAAACGTTTTAAATACTATGCGATGAAGGTTATAAGTCTGCAGACTCAATAGGAAAATAAAGCTTTACTAAAAAGATTAGATGTATATAAAAGTATTAATCAAAATAATAATTGAAACCATTTTTCTGCAAGTATCCCTTTAAATAATTGCAAAACTCAATATTATTCATCAATTATTCTCTATACTCTTCTATTATACAGTCTATTGGGGTTTTGGGGTTTTGGGGTTTTGGGG